CACTCACACACACACACTCAACCGCATGCACACACACAACCGCACGCACTCACACACTCGCACGCACTCACACACACACACATACAATCGCACATGCACACTCACTCACACAAGCACACACACACTCACTCACTCGCACATTCACACACACACGAACGAACGCACGCACGCGCTCACACACACACTCGCACATTCACTCACGCACACACTGACACACACACACACACAACACACACATGCACACACACACACACACTCACACCCCCGCACACACACTCACACGCACACACTCACGCACACACACTCGCACACACTCGCACACACACACACACTCGCACACAAGCACACACTCACTGGCACACACACAAGAGCACGCACTCACACACTCACTCACACGCACTCACACACTCGCACACACTCACTCACACACTCATGCACACACACACTTGCACACACTCGCACGCACACACACACTCGCACGCACGCACACACACACGCGCGCACACACACTCTCACACACACACCCACACACGCACACACACTCACCTTGACGGCCTTGGCGGTCTCCAGTGACTGCTCCGGTGGGATGCCCACCTCTCGCTCTCTCAGCAGCTGCTGTGTGAAGTACGTGATGTCTCGGCCTGCGATGGGAATGTGTTTAATGCAGCTGCCGATCACGTACCCCTCCGCCTGTCAAACCAATCACAGCAGCAGACTCTCAGTGAGAACGCTCAAGGTCACTTCCTGTTCTGTGCTATTCCGCAGGGAAGTGGCCGTGAGCCAGAGATCGACAGCATCAGAACACACTGCTGTGATCAGACACGACAGAAGTGCATCAGCCGAAAAACAAATAAATAATTATTAAGTATTTGGTATGAATACGAACAGCTGTTTGAAAACATGTAAATATTGTTTGACTTTCTTCTCCAGGACAAGCGAGTGTCAGAATCAGATAGTTTCTGCATTAACAACATTCCAGCTTTCAGGACTGACATTTCCACAACAATCCCGTAAAACCTGATGGAATTTGGTGTTCAAGAGAACAGAATCAATCTGTTCTGTAATAAGTGTGTGTGTGTGTGTGTGTGTGCGTGTGTGTGAGGAGCATCACAGATTGAAGAGCATCACACTCTTACCCTCTTTCATCAAAGCCTGAGCTTGTGTGTGAGTCAGTGTGTGTGTGTGTGTGTGTGAGAGTGTATCAGTGTGTTTGTGTGTGAGTCAGTGTGTGTGTGTGTGTGTGTGTGTGTGTGAACGAGAGAGAGAGTGTGTGTGTGTGTGTTGTACCACTGGAATGACGTGAGTAACTCCGTCTCCGCTGTCGATGACGGTTCCCGTGAGCGTCCTCTCACCGACCTGTCGAGACGTCCATGACGCCGCCAGAGCCAGAACAGCCTGACAAACACACACAGATCAGCCAAACGCATCAGCACTGAGAGCCAGTGTCTGTGTGTGTGTGTGTGTGTGTATGTGTACCTGCACAGCGATGTACAGCCCCGGCACGTTAAAGGACTCAAACATGATCTCAGCCGTGTACTCGCGGTTCTCCGGTGTGTTTAAAGGAGGTTCGGTCTGCAGCAGAGAAACAAACAGCACAGGAAGTGATGCGTAGAGTTAGTCGACTGCAGTAATCACTCAACCCATTACTTCAGGTCTCAGCTGAAGGACAGACGTTAAATACAAGACCATGACATGAGGGCAAGCGTTTAGGTGAGCGTTTCCTCACCAGCAGGAAGTAATGGTCCTCAGGTTCGGCTCTCAGGTATTTGAAGATCACCTGCTCCATAAACCTCTCCATCAGATCCCAGTCCTCCACGATCCCGTGCCGAATGGGCCACTGCGGAGACAGACACGCTCAGAGATCACGGACACACAAGCTTTCTGACAGAGACGCAATCTGATGATGATGAAGGATGAGCAGAGAGCCCTTCATCCTCAGGCAGGTAATCAGATTGTGTCAGATTGATTAAAGCAACAGTTCACCCAAAAATGAAAATGTGCTCCCCCTCAGATCATCCTAGATTAGGAGGAGTTTGTTTCTCCATCAGATTTGAGAAATTTAACATGACATCACTTGCTCAGCGGTAATCCAGTTAAAAACGTCTTAATGCTGGATTAGTTTCAGCTTTTGTCTTCTCCAGATGTTAACTGATGGACTGGAGTGCTGTGGATTACTTGTGGATTATTGTGATGTTTTTATCAGCTGTTTGGACTCTCATTCTGACGGCACCCATTCACTGCAGAGCATCCATTGCTGAGACACTGATGCAATGCTACATTTCTACAAACCTGATGAAGAAACAAACTCATCCTGATCTCAGATGGCCTGAGGGGGAGCAGATTTACAGCAAAGTTTTGTTTTTGGCTGAACTACTCCTGTAATGTAGTTCTACAAAGAAGATGTTCATGTGACATTTCGACTGATATTTCTCACATTATGGGAAGAAAAGTGATTTTCACTCTGCCAATGAAAACACACGGAGCGACACTAACCACAAGATCGTCAGTGCTGCTGTGACACACACCTGACAGCAGAACCTGCGTACAGCCGCGTACCTAACTACCAACAAAGAAGGGTTATTTCCCAGCATCGCGTCGAAGCGGCACTGACGGCTCACTCACTTTGGTGGCGTAATTGGGTTTATCGATGGCTTCATCTCCGATGAAGAAGTCCAGGTCATCCACGCCCTTCATCATCCTCCGCTGGGCCTGATCTCCCACCTTCGCGGACTCTTTGATGGCGATGCCTGACAGGAGAAAGGGATGATGGGAAGTGATAGATGATCAGACGGACTGACGAGTGCTGTCAGTCAAACATGAAGAGAGGAAGTAAACGACACTGACTCCAGACGAGAACTGAGCGCTGACGTGAGAGAATACAGCAGCAGCAGAAGAAAAGTTATTATGGGATGTTTGTAAGATGATCTTACATATTTTGACCAGTGAATTTCCCTCAGTCATTCATGATCACTCACATACAATGCTTAACATACCGTAAACAGAGACATCCGACACAACAGGAGTAGACTGAAATGAAATTAATCATTATGATCATTTAATTAATTGTACTTCCCCACTAGAGATTTAGGTTTTAAAAACAAGCCAGTTAAGCATAAGGAAATTTTGTACTGACTAGAAAAGTCAGAAGTTGATACCAAAAATGTCGATACCAAAAAACAAACTGGCTTTGTGAGCCGCTTTCTAAAGCTTCCTGATCTGATCTGAGAACGAACCCTCAAAATCTCGATCCTGAAACCCTCACTACAGGAGTCAAGCACACTACATACGTGCACTACACACTACAGCCATCAAGTACACTACAGACATGCACTACACACTACAGCCGCGCACTACACACTACAGCCGCGCACTACACACTACAGCCATCAAGCACACTACAGACATGCACTACACACTGTCAAGAACACTACAGGTGTCAAGCACACTACAGCCGTGTACTAGACCCCTTGTCCAAATACCTACACTTGCGGTCTTGGCCACTTGAGAGCGCGTGCGCGCGACAGGAAGTAAGTGTGCAAGTCTGTCCCATGTCTTCAAAAGCAGTCAAGCACACTACAGACATGCACTACACACTACAGCAGTAAAAAGCACTACACACTACAGCCGTGCACTACACACTACAGCCGTCAAGCACACTACAGGCGTGCACTACACACTACAGCAGTAAAAAGCACTACAAACTACAGCCGTGCACTACACACTACAGCCGTCAAGCACACTACAGGCGTGCACTACAAACTACAACAGTAAAAAGCACTACACACTACAGGCGTGCACTACACACTACAGCCGTCAAGCACACTACAGGCGTGCACTACAAACTACAGCCGTCAAGCACACTACAGCCATCAAGCACACACTACAGGCATGCACTACACACACTACAGACGTGCACTCCACACTACAGCCGTCAAGCACACACTACACACTACAGCCATCAAGCACACACTACAGATGTGCACTACACACTACAGCTGTCAAGCGCACACACTACACACTACAGATGTGCACTACACACTACAGCTGTCAAGCACACTACAGATGTGCACTACACACTACAGCCATCAAGCACACTACAGACGTGCAATACACACTATAGCCGTCAAGCACACTACAGGCGTGCACTACACACTACAGGCGTGCACTACACATTACAGCCGTCAAGCACACTACAGGCGTGCACTTCACACTACAGGCGTGCACTACACACTACAGCCGTCAAGCACACTGCAGACGTCAAGCACACTACAGCCATCAAGCACACTACACACTACAGGCGTGAGGACAGAGTTACAGACACACTCACATGAGGGAATGATGAACTGCGGCTCCGTGTTTCCTGCGTAACCCAGTTTAGTGTACCTGAAACACAAAGCACACGCATTACTGCTCAGATTCATCATTGGTTTAGATCTGATGAAGGAAACAGACAGACACTGCAGACCCTAGAGCAGGGCTGCCCAAACTCGGTCCTGGAGGGCCGGTGTCCTGCAGAGTTTAGCTCCAACTTGCCTCAACACACCTGCCTTTAAGTTTCTAGTATGCCTAGTAAGAGCTTGATTAGCTGGTTCAGGTGTGTTTAATTGGGGTTGGAGCTAAACTCTGCAGGACACCGGCCCTCCAGGACCGAGTTTGGGCAGCCCTGCCCTAGAGCATCAGAATGAACCAAACCCTTCTTCATTAGGAGCCTTTCATTCTGTGTGTTACAGATTTATTTCTTTAAAATCACAACGACTCAGTTCCTGAAGGATCTCAACATCTCACTGTTTTCAGAACGATAATCACACTGCATAAACCAACACCCTTTGCAAAGAAAAAAAAAAAGACACACACTCACTCACACCACACTCACACACACACACACTGTGGACGTTTTCATTTCTGTTCACAGAACAAATGACTGTCAGAAATAAAACATCACACAGAACGCCTGCGGCTATAACGCCTGCGGTTCCTACATAGTTGAAATATGTGTATTATTCGCCAGTGAACAGCATGATGTTTTAATAGAGGTTCTGGATATTTCTGTTTGTCCATATAAGGCCGCGGCGAGAACACGGAAGTGCAGGAAGAGGAAGCAGATGCGCGCATGCGCACAAGTAAAGAAAACTGATTCGATCATTTCCCCGCTCTTCAGACTCTCTAAGTTTTTCATTTTTGCCATTACTATAATAGTGTCCTGCGATCCGCTGCACATCAAACTCCCGCCGCTGCGCGTCCCCCGTCAATCCCCGCAAACTCACTGATGTGAGGAGCGTCTCCGCTGCAGCACACACACCGACGCTACCGGAGCCGCTGGCGGACGCAGAGCGAAC